TTTTGCTCTAATCAACTGTAGTGTAGCACAATCTCTTTAACATCTGTTATGTATTGTTTTCTGGTTTGGAAATTAGTGTTCAGAGGTGTCATACTTATTTGTTTTGATCTGAAGGAATGAATATTGCGACCCTTAGTGGCATTTAATTAATGTAGTGCCTCATTCCCTGGGAAATCTGTATATGAAAGAGTGTTTGCATTATTATTATTGTATTGTTATTATTTAAATTTAATTTAGCCAATTTGAATTTGAGATATTCATAATTCTTGAATCACAGCCTCCTTCATGCTTCCAAAGTGGGGACATTACTCATCATCAATAACAATTGTTCATCTGTTTGTGAAGTTAATAAAGCTAGTGTGGAATAATCTTATAAACTCATAAAGCTTTTTGTAATAGTTTCAAAAAAAAGGTATGCTTGTCCTTTAATGGCATGCAAAAAACAAGCAAGGCTGAAACAAAAAAATAAATTTAAATAATTACAGTTACCTTGAATTACATACACAGTTCTTATAATTAATACACTTGTAATTTCACCCTTATGTCAAATCTTGAAATACAATTTAATAGTAATTGTTAAATTGTAGCAACATGTAAGCCATTCAGGAATTTCATGCCATATGAGTGATTTATCAAACAAAAATATAGGTTGCATAGATTTGTAGAAAACAGTGGCTTTGTTATTGTACCATGAAACGTGGATATAATCCTGTATCTTGTAATAAAAATGGAGTATAACTTTTCCAGCTTTAATAATTGATTCTAGAATATTAACTAAGCAACAAATATAAGAATAGATGTTAGCAGCATTCTGACAGGACATAGGATTTGTGAAATCCAGTTGTATCTGCCAACCAAAAAGATGAACAGTGTTGGATAAAACACATTCATGCTCTTCCTTAACCTTCATTCTGACCCATAACTCTATTCCTGTTGCAAAAGAAAGTTTTGCTTGCTTGCAACAAACTTGTGGGAACCAAGGTGTTAAAGTGTATGGATATTGTTCACTGGTGCCCACAAAGGCTTTTAGTAAGTTCGAGCACCTGATGAGAGTTCAAAGAAATGGGAATTTGGCTTTTGTTCTTCCAAAAATTTTTCCTGTATAAATCCATGAATGCTTGGACACAATTAGTGAAAGCAATTGAATGTCTTTATCATTCCATCAAGAATCATAAGAAGATGGATTTAACCACTCATTTTTTCAAATTTGCTTGCTATACCCAAGATGATATAAATGGAACATTATCCTTGATTAAGCAAAGCATTTCTCTCTCCAAAGAAGCTCAATTTCACTTAACTCTATATTCTATAAAAATGAGTTCAGGACTCAGAATCAGGAAAAGGGAGACAAGGAGCAAGAGACTATCTGTTTCTAAACATCTACTTTTCAATGGACTTTGAACATGGGCTAAATTCAAGTTTTTATTCAAGGGGATTATATGTTAGCTAGCTTAATTAGGCTGACTGGATTTATTTTATTTGGAATTCCATGTGTACAATTTTTTGCCTTCCTTTGTTATTTTCCTTTTTCCAAGAAATGCTTAATATCTAGATACATTTTAACTTCTCAGTAAGGACTTCAAACTTTTCTTTTTAGATCAAGAACTTAATTCAACCCCCGAATTGCCCAGCAATCTGATTTGAAGATTTGATTCCAATGAGGGATTTGTTCAGATCTCATTTCTTCTCATCATCTCGTTACCTTCTTATGCAGGCTTTCCATCTCACTAGAGGAAGCTGGAGTTGCAAGGTGCAAGCAATTCTACAGGGCACATTCTTAACATAATTTAACATAGGAAACATATTTTTGGAAGCCTATTTTTATTCTCTTTTTAAATATACAGTATACCAGTTTTTCCAATCTGAGGCCCTCTAGATGCTTTAAACAAGTATGCCTGGTCTAGGCCAACTCTTCAATAGATACAAACACCGAAAATGGGCTAAAATTTTACAAATGTATCTTTGCATGTGTAACCCTAAGTGTATATATACATATCTGAATATGTAATGTATATATTATTCATTATTCATAGCACATTGTCATCCATCTCACAAAAATGTGAGTTTTGTGTGTGTATACAAACAGTTAAAAACTCCAAAGCAATCTAAAATCAATGAAAAATATGTAAAATAGACATGAAAAGTAAATAGATAAACAAAAAACATCACAATCTCATACAGCTGGCAGGGTATTATTATTGGTAATAATATTGGTATTATTATTATTATTATTATTATTATTATTATTATTATTATTATTATTATTATTATTTGTATACCGCCCTACTCCCCAAGGACTCAGGGCGGTGAACAGCCAAATAAAATACATATAATACAAATGTTAAAAAACCATTAAAATACAATTAAATAATTGGCCCGGAAAACGACATTTAAAACACCCCAAATTCATAAGACAAATTTAAAATTTTAAAATTTTTAATTTTTTAAAAAAGTTTAAAAGAGAGGTTAGGCCAGGCCGGCCTGCTGGAAAAGAAATGTTTTGATTGCACGGCGGAAAGCGCAGGTCCGGAATCCTCCATATCTCCAGGGGGAGTTTGTTCCAGATGGCGGGTGCCCCCACAGAGAAGGCTCTCCCCCTGGGGGCCGCCAGTCGACATTGTTTGGCTGACAGCACCCTGAGGAGCCCCTCTCTATGGGAGCGTACTGGTCGGTGAAAGGCTGCTGGTGGCAGAAGGTGGTTTCGTAGATACCCCGGTCCTAAGCCATGAAGCGCTCTAAAGGAAAACCTTGAAGTGCAGCCGGAAGACCACCGGGAGCCAGAGCAGCTTGCGCAGGATGGGGGGGGTCACATGGGAGCGCCCGTCGCTCCCATAACCACCCGCGCAGCTGAATTCTGGACCAGCTGGAGCCTCCGGGTGCTTCTCAAGGGGAGCCCCATATAGACCCCTATGTTTAGGTATCCCTAAGGCTAAGAACCCATGTTTTAAGGGTCTTCTGCAAGATTAATAGGTGAGACAATTCTTACCTTGGGGAGGAGGGGTGAAGAATGATAGTTACAATAGAAAATATACCCTGCTCGGGTTTAACCAGATGGAACTCCTTTGGAGGCAGGGCCTTTCTTGCCTGCCTGGTGGAAATAGGTAGCTGTAATCAAGGGTCATCAAATATATGTATCTAATACACACACACACACACACACACCAAATCCTGTTGGATCATCCTTTGAGAGAAAAGTAGTGCAGTCTGACATAACCAGAATAACAGGAGTAATGGGTTCTGTTTTTTTTTTATGCATTCTTCAAGTAGGAGGATTGAGGTATCTTGATTAAAAATTGTTGTAATATAATGCACTGGGATTGGGAGTGATTTTTGATTTCCTGCTGGCTTCCCAATTGACTTTGCTATATTTTTCGTTTGTGGGAAGCTGGCATTGGAAATCATGATCACGTGACTGCAGATATACAGCAACATTATTCAATTACAGGAATAAAAGTGCTATGCACATTCTGGAAATTTCAATTCCACAGTAATAATGGGATGTGAAGTACCTTGATTAAAAATCTGTTGTGGTATAATGCATGTTTGGACTAACCAGAGGACAGATAGGAGAATTGATGTGTGTGTGTGTGCGTGTGCGTGCATATAAACTTTCCTATATATTTGCGTATGTTTATTTTGGAACTAGATTTTTACCTTATATGATACCTTAACAAGTTCCTGAAATTTGGTGGCAAGATTTTTCAGAAGTGGTTTGCTACTGGCTCCTTCCTAGATTGAGAATGACTAATCCAGGGTCAACCAGCTGGCTTCGTTCCTAAACTGGAACTAGAATTTGTGGTTTCCCAGTTTCTAGTCTGATGCCTGAACCAAACTGGCTGGATTGAGTACTGGTGTCACAGATCCCAACTTCTTAACTGGCAATGTCCCTTTTGGCTGGAATTCTTGAGATTACAGGAACAAGTTATGGAAAGATACAGGCTCACATAGACATCCTAAATAAGAAACATTTTATAAAAACAGATTGGAAATGGTCAAATACTTGCTGTGATGTTTTCTCATGCATAGAACTCCAAAGCCATACAGGTTGCCTGTTATTTTTTTCACTGCATCCCTCAGAGGCTAAAAAGCACCACCTTGTGGCAAGCTCAAAATCTTCTTTTGCTTTTCATATGTATAAAATGCTATTTAATTATACTTTATTTAAAATTGGTTCATACTATACTTTATTCTTTTTGTAGTCATTTCATATTTAGTTTTGTTTCCAGGTAGATGTTTGTTTTGTATTTTGCTAGTTTGAGGAACTGTTTGAAAATAAATTCTACTTGGTATTTGCTAGAATCATAAAGCTATTTCAAAATATATTGTATAAAATCTTAGCCCTCCTTTTAAAAGAATAATTTTTTACATTTCGTCATATAATGTGATTATATATGTAGAACTGCCATTAAACAGAAGGTTGTAGACTTGTTTTTCAGAAGTTATGTTTCTTCTCTACAATTAAAAATGCCATTATCTTCAGAATTTTTTTTTTTAAAAAAATTGAAAATGGAATAATATTCCAATGTCTACAGTTGGTCATGATTGTAAAATTATTTTTTATCCAATTTCTCCATTCATAGTACTGTTGTAAAGCTTAGGATTCCCACACTGTTTCTTTGCAGCAAAGGATTAAAATTTTAAAGAGTCAGTTGAGACCACTTGTTGCAAGTTTCTGGGTTCTCATCCCAGCAGAGGTTAATAGTGATACAAAGAAAAGTCATGCTGGGATTGTCTATTCCAGCTTTTCGCAACTTCCTGCCTTTTAGGAGGTTACAATAGTTACTAGTTGTGTAACTTTTATGATTTCCAATCACAGATATGAGAAAAATAAAAATCAGCAGGGCACATGATCTTACTTAGACAAACAAACGAGAGACAAAAAACAAACAAAAACTGCTGCCTCCCAAAATATCTCCAGATATTTTACAGGACTAGGAGCCATTTTACTTGTATTCCACACTCTCATTTTACTTGTGGCATAACAAATATGCATAGGAAACTTCTGATGATACAAATATAGCTTTAATCTTTCATATAAATATAATGTCTCTGCAGTTGCATGGGTATACAAAGATAAGTTAGAACAGTTTATACAGCTCTGTGAATAAAAAATATTAGAATCTCTTTAGGGTACAGTCATGATCTCATTCTCTCTCTCCTGCCCCTCCCAAAAATAAATTGTCATATGCATAAGACATTCATTATTTCATGTCATACCATGAGAATCTTTGATTTACACTACAGTATTTAAACCAACCAATATTTTACACTCATTTACTACTTCAAATATAGCCACTGAACATTTTCCAAACATTTCTAGGTGTAATTTGATCCCCCCCCATTTTTTTCAGTTCAACAATTTTGAGAAATCTAGTTATGCTTAAAATGTGTAAGTCCTCAGGTATTCTTGGGAAATATTGTTTTGAGTAAATTTTGTAATATTGATCTCAGTAAGGAAAATGCATATTAAGTTCGGAGAAATAGAATCAAGCAAAAGTTTTATTTCTCTGACCTTCAACTTAGACACATGTATAGGATGGCTCATTCACTATTACTCCTTTGGGAGTTCTATATGCTTTGCTTTAGGGAAAGAAACCCTTTTCTTATTGCAAATATCATTTGCAAAGTCTCAAGAAAAACATTGCATGTTTCTTCAGACATGGTGCCATCAAGTGGCAATTGCCAGCAACTTTTCAGTTTCAAATATCTTTTCTAGAGCTCCTCAAATTAAGTTGTAATTTATGGACAAGCCTGACCACATTGGAAGGTCCACATTTTAAGAAGATTAAGATCCAGAAAAATATCTGCACAAGTGGGGACCCCTGAAAAATGTAATGTTCAGATCAGCCTGACTTATTCAAGCCAGAGGATATCTCATTCCATAACTTTCCATGAATGGAGATTTGTCAGGATAGCAAAAAGTCAGTAGAGGATCATTTATTTGCTTGTTGAATAGTGAGATTAGCATCTTTTTGGGATGAGGGAGAACCAATTACATTGCAACAATTGCCCACGAATAATTATCATGAGACAAGATGACATAAATCTCCCAGTGTCTTCCCTGGGATAATAAGAGGCTTCTATAGATATTCCACCTCTCATCCTCATTCATTTCACATCATGGAGGACTTATGCATCATTGGAAACCAATGTAACTGTAAGTCAATTCCTATTAATAGTGGTTTAGGAGAACAATACTAAGAAAGATGGTTCATCCTTCTTTTGCTTGAAAAAGCATACTGTATTTCTGTATGTTTATAAAACATATATAAAATTTAATTTTCAACATGTATAAGGCTGTTCATCTTAAATGGATAATCCTGTATACCTCACAACAAACCCCAGAAAATATTTTTTTTAAAAAAATCTATAAACAACCATAACACATCAATTAATGTATCAAAAGAACTGCACATACAGTATATTGGGTGCAACAAACATCTCAGCCAGTTTCTGGTGGAAGGCTAAGAAGGTTGGGACTTTCTGAATCAGGAAGTAGTTGTTCCAATGGAAGATTCTAGAACAGAGAAGGCACATCTTCTAGGGCCCAGGGTGATCTGGATTGTGCTCACCTTGTCAGATCTGGTGAGATGGGCAATCCCTGGAAAATTGTGATCCTAGAAATAACCTTTCCCTGTACAATCCAAGACTTTAAAGATGAAAAAATCTGAAAAAATATGGCCAGGCAATGAAATTTGGGCAACAATAATGGAATTTGAGCAAACCTTGGTACACCCAAAATAGTATGCACTGTGTATTCTGGGCATATTAAAGTTCGAGTGTTTTAAAGGCAGCCCTATGTAGAGTGCATGGCATTAATCCAACTGGGAAATGACTATGAGATGAATATATCATATCCCACTCTTCCTCCTAATGTTGAAGATAGCAATCACAACATTCCCATCTTTATTTATCTCCACAACAACCATCTTGTGTGTTAGACTGGACTTAAGTGCCAGGGGTGGCCTGAAGTCACTGAGCTCTCATGACTGAGGATGGACCCTGAATCAGAATCCCTCCAGTCCTTCTCTAACTGCTTAACTATTATTCTTAGGTGGTTATCATTAAGTTTCAACATTTTAAGTTGTAGTTCATTCATCATGGTTCGTGATAATGTCAACCCTTCATGATAGGAAAGTTATGAAACAAGAGCAATATGGATTCCAAGAATGCTCAATATTGTTGTAGGGTAGAATAAGAGAAACTTGAAAGCCACTCAGATTTTTTCTCTGTGTCGCACCTTGCTTCAAACAAAATTGAGGGGGGAGGCATATTTTGAGTTTTTATTTTCTGAAAACTTTTTTCTTTTCCTTTAATGATTTATTGTACTCTTTCACCACCACCCCCATCCCAGGGTCAGATCTATATTATTTCACAGGTATACTTATTTAATGCTGAAATATTTTTAGCATTTTCAATGTGATTCTACCTACATATAATAGAAAAAAATACTTTTGAGTATTTCAGGATTAAATAGAGCTGATGTAGTTCCCATCTTCAAAAAAGGAAAAAAAAATAGATCCAGGAAACTACAGACATATCAGCCTGACCTCAATACCAGGGAAGATTCTGGAAAAGATAATCAAGCAATGAATCAGTGAACACCTAGAAGCAAACAAAGTAATAACCAAAATCCAACATGGGTTTATCAAAAACAGATCATGCCAGACTAATCTTATTGCATTCTTTGACAACGTGACAAAATTAGTGGACCAGAGAAATGCTATTGATATAATTTACTTGGACTTCAGTAAGGCATTTGATAAAATAGACCATAACCAGTGGTGGGTTGCTCCCGGTTCGGACCAGTTCACAAGAACTGGTAGTAAAACTGGCAGGAGGTTCTGCCCACTGACCTAGACGTCATCATACGTGATCTGAGCATATGCAGAACAGCGCACACGGGCATGATGCAAACCGGTAGTAAAAGTAAGTAGAACCCACGCCTGACCATAATCTATTACTAGATAAAATAGAAAAATGTGGGACAGCATCACCACCAGATGGATTCGTAACTGGCTGACCAACCACACACAACGTGTAGTCCTCAGTGGAACTGCATCTACATGGAGGGAAGTATGCAGTGAGGTATCCCAAGGTTCTGTTTTAGGCCCAGTACCCTTCAACATCTTCATCAATGATTTGGATGAGGGGATAGATGAGGAACTCATCAAATTTGCAGATGACATCAAGCTAGCAGGAATAGTCAACAATCCGGAAGATAGGCTTAAGATACAGAAGGATCTTGACAGACTTGAACACTGGGCACTATATAACAAAATGAAATTCAATGGTGAAGAAAGCAAGGTTCTACATTTAGACAAGAAAAACAAAATGCACAGGTACAGTATATGTGGTACCTCGCTCAGTAGTAGTAATTGTGAGAGGGATCTTGGAGTCCTAGTGGACAACCATTTAAATATGAGCCAGCAGTGTGCAGCAGCTGCCAAAAAAATCAACACAGTTCTAGCTGCATAAACAGAGGGATAGAATCAAGATCGTGTGAAATGTTAATACCACTTTATAAGGCCTTGGTAAGGCCACACTTGGAGTACTGCATTCAGTTTTGGTTGCCATGATGTAAAAAAGATGTGGAGACTTTAGAAAGAGTGCAGAGAAGAGCAAAAAAGATGATTAGGGGACTGGAGGCTAAAACATATGAAGAAGGGTTGCAGGAACTGGGTATGTCTAGTTTAATGAAGAGAAGGACCATGGGCGACATGATAGCAATGTTCCAATATCACAGGGGCTGCCACAAAGAAGAGGGAGTCAAGCTATTCTCCAAAGCACCTGAAGGCAGGACAAGAAGCAATGGGTGGAAACTAATCAAGGAGAGAAGCAACTTAGAATTAAGGAGAAATTTCCTGACAGTTAGAACAATGAATCAATGGAACAGCTTGCCTGTAGAAGTTGTGAATGTTTCAACATTGGAAGTTTTTAAGAAGATATTGGATAACCATTTGTCTGAAGTGGTGTAGGGTTTCCTGCCTAGGCAGGAGGTTGGACTAGAAGACCTCCAAGGTCCCTTCCAACTCCGTTATTCTGTTCTGTTCAAATAAGTAGTCTGCACTTCAGAATTACTGTACATTGAAGTGCAATCAAGGTAAGAATGGAACAGAAGGTTGATGGGATAAAAAATGTTTGAAGCCTTTCCATCTGATTTACTTTTATGGCTATTCCCAGACATATCAAAAATAGAAGAAAGTTGCACCCATCACAGTATTAGAAAGGAAAAATTGCCTAATTGCATAAACAATTCAGAATTTTTTCAGAAACATTTTTTTCCAAGTAGATTACATATCACAGCACAATGTAGCAAAAGCCTTTTTTCCCCATTAAGTAGACCACAAGAATTATACCTCTTTCCCTCTTGTAGTCACTTAAATTCACTTAGAGCATCAGTGAAAGGTGTACTGTAAACTTCATTACAGCCCACAAATGAGGCTATGATGCCATGGCTGCCTTTTGATTCAGCCTTACATCTATTGCTGCATTTATATACTGTGCTAAGATATGTTTTGTTTTAATAATATAATGCTAAATCATATCCCATGGTACATGAAGACTGGGTTCACATACTAGACTAAGTCAGACCCAAGTGCACAACATTATACATGTGCATGATATAAAAATCAGGCTTGTGTCTTCTGGACAAAATTTAATTCATAATGTCATGTCAAGATTGACTTTCAACAGAAGAACAAATCAGTCTAGTAGCACTAAAAGAACTCATATCAATTAAATGTTTGCTTTGAAACTATGAACAGAACCTAGAACCTTGAACGTGATACTTTCTGTATTTGGTGTCTTTGTACTTTGTGATTATCAAATTTAATCTGATTTCTCTGTCATGGAACGTTCTTCTATCTCAACTGGGTTCTGTACTCATCTAACCATGGGAATCACCAGGCCCCAGCCTTTGTGCTGCTGGAAGTCCAGATACTGGTGCTCCGCAATCCAGTGGAGCTCCCACTAACTTTTGCCCCTTGTGGCTTCTTTATCTTAGTTTCAGGTTCCAGGTGCTGGCTGATTTCCTCCAAGGAAGAAATCTCCAAATCACTGTCCTCCTCATAGGAAAACTACATCAGGAAGAAAAGAGAAGACAAAGAGAGAACAAGTGATGAAAACTTGCAAAGATTGAATGCACCAAGAAATGCAGGAATGATTTGATACTTGTGAATAAAAATATTTGATTTGCAATTACCCTTCAGATGTTATGTTTCACTGAATTTTTTATAAAACATAGATTTAGAAACATGCATTAAACAGAACATTTTCACTAAGATGAGCATTTTCACTTTAACAAGTAAAAACTTGTTAAAATATATTTTAATATTTATTTCTAAATACTATTTCCAAGGATTTTTTATGCTGTTAGACCTTGCACATGAATGTCTAAACAAGAATGACCTATCAATAAATTCATACAACATTCACCAATTTAGGCAGGCTTTCATACAGGGGTGGACAACTTTTAGCTCCAAGTCCCTTTCTTGTAGCCACTTGAAGCAGTTCAGAATTTACCAAGCTTCCCATGATGTTGAGATGGGAAATAAATGGAACTGCATTGTAAGCCTACAGGCCTAACACAATATAAAAAACCAAGTCCTTCCCCAGTCTCTGTATAAAAACTACTGGTCAACTTTAATGGCTGCTGTGGCCCTAGCATTAACTGTTGTCTCTAGCTATTAAAAGTATCTACTTTTGATTAATTGATTACATGCCAATAAATCATTGCTAACTTTTAACAACCACATGGATAAATCTTCTCCATGTCTACTTTGGTTTGCATATTTGCAAATTATTTGCAGCAATCCTTCTCTTTCTGATGCTCTCTATCTATGCTGGCAATCTGAGGAGTCTTAGGTTCTAGAAATCCATAAGTTGTATTTCCAGTGTTATGGAGGGCACTAGATGTTTGCTATTTAGTCTATGTATGTTTATAAATAAAAATGTCACAGAAAACAAATATGGATTCTAGAAACATATTAAGTTCAGTTATACTGAACTTAAGCTCAATATTATACTCAAAAGCTTTAATACCTGAGAGTTTATAAAGTAGGGCTATCAGATCCAGGCTACAGAAGTCTAGACAATTACTACATGGTATCCAAATATATTCTGTATTTTTTTCCTGCCCTGTGTTGGCCATCTGATTTTTTGTTGCTGAGATGTGGTAGAGCTCATAATCTTTAGGCAATTTAACTACAACTATGGATTAACCCAATTAACAATCCTATCATTGACAACATATTGACTACTTTTGAAGTATTCACTATCTTGATCTTTTTACTTTTTGTAAATAACCTTAAACCCATTTACTACTATGGCCTACAGAATACAATGCAACTTTCTTAGAAATGTGCAGATCATGTTACTAGTGAATCAGTTATGAACAAGATCTGTACTGTTAGGAAGCAAAATTAAAAGACTACCACCTAATACCTTCTTGGGTTTTGAAATAACACCAATACCTGAAGCTTTTTTGTGGGATGATTGGTTTTAGCATCTTCTTTGCTTTGGACGGCAAAGAGCTTCACGCCACCTGGAGGCTTCTTTCCAGGTATGTTCAGTTTCTTCTCCAGATTTTTAGCCATTGACTGCACTAGTGTTTCTAAGTGAAGCAAGGAATCAGTTAGGCTCAGAATTAGTAGTGACATGATCGTACTAGCCTTTCAGCATATTGCTAGGCCTCACAGGACATGGTTAATTTATTTGAATAGTTATTTAACCTAAACAACTATTAATTCGTGTCTTCTTACTGAATTTTATAAAAATAGCCATGTATGTTTTACAGCTTGGTAGTATAGCCACACACCCTGGCAAATCCCCATAGTAGTATTTAATTCACTTAGTATTCATTTACTAAACATTGGTATTAATTCACTTAGTATTCATTTACTAAACATTGGTATTAAGATAGCAACTACCAAAATTCAGTTGTCTGTCATTTAAGCCCATAAAAATGTATAACAAGATAACTGTTGTCCCAGTTCATTTGATTACTGAAGTAGTTGATACATATCTTAGTTTTCGGATGTGCTATTTTTTTTTACTTTTTTGACACTGACATTTGTATACTTTATGACAGTAATAAACCCAATTAAATGATAGTCACCTGAATGAGTTCCTGCTGCAACTGAAAAACTCTTTCCTGTACCAAGTTTCTCTTTAGAAAAGTCTGTGTCAGATGAATCCCACTCACTCTCTTCCACCTGTGCTGCTCTGGGGACAGGTTTGCTCTGCTTTGGTTCCGTCTTGAGGAATGTGTGTTTTGGAGAGCTCATGTTTGTTTCTTCCTCTGACTCTTCAGTCTCAGAGCTGAAAGGTGAAGTACTAAAGGAGAGAAACACAATAGAAGGAAAAATGGGAAAAGAATAAATATTATGAACTATTTTATATTGTATCTTATTGTATTTTTTTTTAATTATGTTGTGAGCTGCTCAGAATCAGTCCAGAGTCAGGAAGTGTCCAAACTGAATAAAACCAATAAACAATTATTATAGAGGCCTTGCTTCATGAGATTTTAAGAAAGTTTACAACTTTTCTAATAAAATCTGAAGTACTTTCAGAGTAGCCAAGCTAGGGAATACATATGTAACAGTAACAGAGTTGGAAGGGACCTTGGAAGTCATCTAGTCCAACCCCCTGCTGACGCAGGAGACCTGGGATTAGAACCACCGAACTGCCAACCTTTCTGATTGACAAGCTCAGTGTTTAAGCCACTGAGCCACCTAGTCAGGCATATCAATGACCTATTTGTAAAAATATGTCCCACCTTTTTTTCAAAGGTAAACTCAAACAGTTTACAAATGAACACCAAAAAACCTCACAAAAAATCAGTGTAGCAGACTGATTGAGCTTGCAGGTGGTCTCAATCCTCCTGGGAAAAGGTGGCTTGGTATTTCTTGCTAAAACATTTATCTGCCAAGGAATGCCATGTCTGGCATCTTTCTCATAAGTGTGTGAAAGAAAAGGCCATTACAATCTGTGCAGTTTCTGGCAATTACATGCCAAAAATGCAACTATGTGGTTACTTAGCATCGAGGCATTTGATTAGATAATTTACCCTCCTTTCTTAGTAGATAGTTTTTGTTATCCATGGCTGGATTGGTCTATTTTAAAAGAAAAGAGATATGTAGAGATATAATTACTGAATTTTTAAATATTTAAACGCAAAATAGTTGATGAAAAAGGATAAATTACAAAAGCTATACTGAAAAGAGAAGCACAGGGCTTCTGGCAGACCACAAGAAGGCTACAACACAGAAGAAAAATAAGACCATTTGGAGAGATGCTGCAGGAGTTTTTTCTCTTACAGATCAAAAACAACTAATACTGTGATGCTCTACATGAAGAAGGGCTAAAGATTGGAATTACCCAGAATTCCCTAACTTGCACAGAGAAATACAGCGTTTCAACTTGATTAGGTAACACACAGAAAAAAGAAAAAAAGTTAAAGCAAATTTATATTTTTTCCAAACTACTAATTTTTCATAGCAAAAATTCCTCTGCTTTGTTTAGTGAGACTTTCTCCAGGGCTCTATAGAGCTTTCTCCAGCCTCTATTTTAACTAGAGGCTGTTAAAGAGCTACCGTATTTTTCGGAGTATAAGATGCACCGGAGTATAAGACGCAGCTTAGTTTTTGGGGAGGAAAATAGGAAAAAAAAAATCTGCCTATCAGGTATTCATCTGGCTAGTGTCCTTAGTCTGGTCAGCTTCAGCACATTAGTTTGCAGGTTTTTTTAATCCCCTGCTTGGGGATAAAGAACAGCTTCTAAGGCACAGCTGAGAGGAAGCAGCAATGAGAAAAGCAGGCAAAGCAGGGGAGGGGGAAGATTGCTTCACTCAGCTAGTGCCTAGTTAGGGCTGAAAAAAAGCTTCTAAAGAAGCTGAGAGTCGGAGCAAAGCATGGAGATTGCTTCACTCACTAGCGCCTCGTTAAAGCACAGCGAAGAGTTGAGGGAGCAGGCAAAGCTGGGAAGATCAGTCACTAGTGCCTCGTTAGAGCTGAAAAAGCTTCGAAAAAGCTACATTCGGAGTACAAGATGCACCCAGATTTTCAGCCTCTTTTAGGGGAAAAAGGTGCGTCTTATACTCCGAAAAATATAGTATGTTAAATTATTCTCTTTTCTAGCCTCCATCTAGAAACTTACTTCATTTATAAAAAGAAATTTTAAACTTTTGTTATTCCTAGCAAAGAAGAGAAATGCAGCATTCTCAATCACTACACAACCAAGAGTCATACTGCATTCCTGAATGTGGATTTTATGTCTGCTTTTGTCTGTCAAATGAGCTGAGTCTGTGATTATCAAAGTTTTTATCAGCTTTTCATTGACTATTTTGCACATTTGCAATTACTAAAGTAGGTAAGTTTCCTAAGTCTCATGCAAATGAATGGGTGATTATATAAATTCAATAAATAAATAATTCACTTTAATTATAATAAGATGGAGCACAGGTTAAAACATCAACTCAGGGAAATACAATTATAATCCAGAACTTACCTGGGGAAGTGTACAGCAGATTGTTGAAGAGAAGGTGAACTGCTTCTAATAAGATTTGGTGATGGTACCTTTGGAATCTCTACTGAACTAGTCATGGAACTAACTTTGCTCCGAGGAGCTGGCTTGGGTGTCTCCAGGGCATAATATGGTACTTCCACTGGGTGTGATCCAATCTTCAAAGGTGTAACCTGGAGTGGAGAATGCTGGTCTCTTTGGTTTTTTTCTGAAGGAAAAGATTGAAAAAGTTTAATAAAAAAAAAACCCTGGTATTTAATCTGAGTCTCAAAGATTCACTGTAAAAGAGTTCGACATCAAAACAATTACAACTGAACCACGTCTGAAGCATGTCACAGCATTTTTTAAAATGCAAGGTTTATATCTCCTTTGCTTTGTGAATAACCTCTAATAGCATTAATGCAAGTAGAAAAGCAGGATTTGCAGTTCTAACATGACAAAAGTTTTATGTTTGCCCCAGAAACCAAATGAAGCAAGAAGCCTAAGTAAAAATCCTCTTAGTGACTTGGCTTCAATTATCCAGCTGACTCAAACATTACACAGAAATTGTTTTGATCCATTTGCCTCTTACGTATTCATACCTGAGTCACTGATGGATCCTGAATATAGCAAGTAATCTCACAATAAGTATCTCCCCACTAGTAAAAATAAATGATCTATTCTGGCCTTTTCATACACTTGACCCACAGATTTAATACTAAAGCCAGAATCTCAGGTTCTGCAATTGCAGACACATGTACAGTACATATATGCAAACCTTTTGTGACTGCATATGGATCACTCCTGTTGTAGAAAAGTGTCCTGGATTAACTGAATTTAAATGCTTATCTCCCAATCTTCATGAAAGACTGCAACCTATCTTTTAAGCATGGCTTTTATAACAGACAGAAGAATATTTACTCTAGTAAAAAAAATTGCACTCACTACCATGTTTACCAAATGCATAAATACATTAAAGTATGCTTTTTCCTGGATTATTAATATTACAAAGTCTGGGAAACAGCATAGACCAAATAATTACCATAACAAGAGCCTTAAAAAAGTCTTTAGTGAAGGATTTACTCTCATCTAGTTCTTTATAATAATTTGTACTGTTGTACAATTAGTATCTTTATAGTATTTTGTTTGTATTATATACATGTTTTGTATACCCTGTTTTCCCGAAAATAAGACCACCCCAGATAATAAGCCCAATCGGGCTTTTGAGTGCATGCACTAAAATAAGCCCTTCCCAAAAATGAGTCCCCCCAAATAAGCCCTTCCCGAAAATATTTAAGTGCATGTGCAGCCAGTCCCCGCCATTTCTTCTGGTTAGGGGGTTAGGTAGACAGAGCTGGAAATCAGGTAAGACAAGTAGAGGAGCTCCGTCTTCCTCCATGTACCCCAAAATAATAAGATGTCCCTGAAAATAAGGCCAAGCACTTAATTCGAGGTTCAAAAAATATTACACAGGGTCTTATTTTTGAGGAAACATGATAGTTTTATTATTTTTAACATTAAAGCTGCCCAGACTTATCCTGTGGTAAGACAGGTGGCAAACAAATTTAATAAAATAAAGAAAGGTAATTTCTTATCAATTACTTTTATTGATACAAGTAACCTTTAGTTCAGAAAATACTGAATATGCTTAAAATTTAGGATATCTCAAGATTATAAATGTTCTTTTATATATCTTTCAATTATTGCTGTGTGTCATTTTTTATTTTGTTTTGTTCTTAATTATTAGGACTGAATAATAGGAGAAAAGGAGAAAAACATTTTTGGAGTGCAATGGAGTCTTACATAGCACCAATCTACAACTTGTGTTACAAGTTGAATATTTCCTTTCCTCATTCTGCTTTTAGGAATTTTATTCACACTATTTGACAAGTGACAAAATATGGCATCTGGCTTATGGAAACTAAGCAGGGTCAGGTTAATTAGTATTGGATAAGAGAATTTGAGGGAATGGCCGGCCTAAAAGCTAGATTCAAAAATAAAAAAACATCATGGAAGGCGGCCATGAGAATCCACTTCTACATTCCTGTCAAGAAAATCACACAAAATGCATCTATGGAATTTATTTTGGAGATTGTACTGAACCCTTTAATATCTGATACAGTATACATGTATGTGCTATGTATACTACATATACATGTAGTAGCATGTATGTGCTATGCAAATAAACTTTGCTGCTTTCATAATCTGAATAATTAAAGTCTATACAAAGAATACCTATGGGATCATAGAGTCCATCTGCTGTAAAAGTAGTCATGGATTTTTTTTTTATTATGAGCAGGGTCCATATATAAACTCGAATTTACAAATTAGCCTTTAGATTTATTTCATCTTATTTTGAAAAAAATGTAAAAACACAAATATATAACATTCGAGTCAGGGAGCACAGCATCATTTAAGCATTAAATTTGTTAGTCTTTTAAGATATTTTGTTGTTTTTACATAAAATGATAAAATATTAACCAAATCAAATGAATGTTATGTTTCTAAATAATATAACTGAGTGTCTTACCAAAGATTGAAGAAAACGGCAAGGACATATTCTCTTCATCCTTCTGAACCGCTTTCTTCTGAACTTCTTTTTCAAGTTTATCTCTCAAGGTTAGCAGACCTGGAAATGTTTTAGCTTTCTGCTGCTGCTGTTTCTTTATCAAAGCTCTCAAATGTTTATAGGTTTGAGCTGGGATGCCTTTTGTACCCTACAAAACAGAACAAATGTTTCTAATCAGCATAAATATGTGTGTGAGGCCTGCTCTCATCATTCATGCAGCAAATAAATTCCTGACATCTCAACCTCTTCAAATTAAACAGGGGGTTCTTCATATTAGGCTGAATGTAAATAATGGGAGCCTCTATTCAGGTGGAAAACTTGGTTCAACTCCTTTGAAGAGTTACTGCTGAATTAAAAAGGATGGAAAGAAGGACGATTAAACTGCTGTACAACTCAGTATTCCAATCTTAAACCCATTACAAAAGGAAATTATCCTTTGCAATTATCCAAATTATTATCTGATCTCCCAGGTAGATGAGCTGTGCCTGGAGTCGATAAACTAAGTATGAGAAAATAGCTGGGAATGAAACAGAAAGAGGGACGCTCATGAAGAGTGGGAAGAAAATTGAAATAGACTAAGTGGCTCATTAGGTGTGAACTTAAATGGACTCTAGAGGATAGTAGAGGACAGGAAGGCCTGGAAGAACATTGTCCAAGGAGTCATGATGGGTCGGACACGACTTTGCAACTAACAACAACAACAACAACAAAAGTGGCTCATAGAAAAGGACTTGTGGATGAACTCATGGGGAGAAAAAGAAGATGGCCAGCAAGTCAATGGATTCAGGCTGTTTTGGCTGCCAAAAATATGCCAGTTCCAGAGGTACTGAGGACTACTGAAGAAGTTCCCTGGGTAGAGGGAAGATTACTGAAGATTAACAAGGATTATGTTTTGAGAAATCAGACTCTAACCTGAGCAGAATTTTGGAGAAAGAAGAGGATCTGAAGGTCATCATTTTACTAGCTGTGAGAGGATGCCAGCTAAGTTAATGTAAAGCCATTTATTAATTCTAAAGGGAACTTGATATAGCTATGCAATTTAAGACCACTGATTTTTTTTTTTAAAAAAAACATCACTTTGCAATAGGGAAATAATTAAGTACTGACAGCAGACCATTAAAGTCATAAAGTGTTTTATTGTTTTTACTGCAGTCTACCTTTTCTATTGCAGTTAAGTCAAAGGAAAAGAAAGGGACTCGAAAGACATTATTTGCTTTAGATGCATGTCACTGATAAATCTATCTAGCTATAAAAATAAAAATATGAGGCAATCCAGAAGTTAGTTTTAAATTTTGCAAATTACAGTTAAAGAGAAATAATAAATCAGTTCATGATATAGTTATTGTCTATTGTGAATATGACTGTTCGATCCTAAGTATTTCCACACTCCCTGCGTCAGCTACATTGCATAAACAAGAATGCATTTCTTGCAAATATATTTATCTCATGGTTTCTTATTTCCTTGTCTTTTATTGGTTTGTTGCAATATACTGAGAGAAAGTAGTCAAGAATGAATCTTAAAAGAATGTTCTTTAATTAGCACTTCCTGATTTTTGGAGGCAAAAGAGAAAGCAGTTCCCTGGGCAAACCATTTTCCTGAAAAAAGGTTCAAAAGAGGAGGAGGAGGAGGAGGAGGAGGAGGAGGAGGAGGAGGAGGAGAGGAACAGTGAGATGTTCGGGTGCTTTTCAATTTTCTGTTAAGCATGTGAATGTGTTGAACAGGTGTTCAAAGATGAGTATAATTTTATGTCACTTTTTTGCCAAACTAATATATATTGCAATCCTCAAAATCGCATCCAGCTGAAATTCAAAGTAAGTCTAGTAGATAAGAAAATGAAAAAATGTTCCTTTTCTACTTTTTTCTTCTCACAGCACTTACTCGTTTCAGTCCCATGGTCTCCAGTTTATCTTCAAGTGTCTCTTCCAGAATTGGCCGGAATTGCTTCAAAAAATTGGGATCCTTCCGCAATGTTTCCAGAACTCTACTCTTCGTGTCCAAAGTATCATCTAGTTCTACAGAAACCAATGAGCAGGATGGTTATAAATCCCAATTCTGGAATGTTTAACATTTATACCCTACCACAAAACTGCCACTTACGGATCTATTTCAGAAAAACAAACAAACAAACAAACGTCTTCATCTGACTTCAATTTACTCTGTTATTGAAGGAGATAGCTTGTGTAAAATTCAAGAAAATAGTCCTAACACCTTCATTCATTCCAGGACAGCAGAGACAACCCAATTAAAATATAGTGATCTCATGTAGTGCTTGATTTAATATAGTCCAGATTTAATATAGTCATAATCTATGACTAGAACTCTAACTCCATTACTATCAATTTGTACATTGCCAACCTCTGGAATTAATTATGAAATTCTTCTAAAACCCAAAGTAAATGACTAGCCACTGTCTTTTCCTGACTTACGAGAATTTCTCAGCATCTCAGAAAGTATCTCTGAGTGATCAATCTCTCTCTCAGTAATAGTAATAGTTAGCATATAAGAAAAATGGCAGGTGAAATTTACAAAATATACCTTCTTCGCTGGATTCTTCCAGTTTGTCTGTCTTGGGTATTTGTTGGATTTCTGAAAATTAAAAGCAATTTTTTAAAAAAAGGCCTATATTCCTATTCGAAAACAAAATCACATCTTTCACATTGTCATGGCATTAACACAATGAGTTAGCCATTATTTTAATGGGAACTAAGTGTAACTTAATTTGGCTCCAGCCAAGCTCTTTTAAATGGAAAGAGAAAGCAATCTGAAGCCAAATAGTACCATGAAACTGTTCCATTAAGAAAACTGATAGGAAAACATGGGCCAAATGAAAAGTATTATCACTTGGAGCCCCTGCAAAGCCCATGAATCATCACTTTATATTATGATAAATATATCATCTGGATGTATAGAGTGAAGAGGGGGGAGAGAGAAATAATAACATGTAAATGAACCTTAGGTTTTTATACAGGTTTAAAAACATTACCATATTCCATTACAAGTTGTTCAGCAAACCTAAGCGTGGCAATGAAATATCTGTATATTGTTTTTCTGTTTCTCTCTGTCTTGCCTTCACTTGTCATTATATGGAATTTCATATTTTACTAGACAACCTGCAATCCATTGGGTCATTTCAGAAATATTTCCTTATCTAAACAGACACAGAATGACTATGCGTGGGCAAAAAAGCAACAGGAGCAGGAGTGACTTCTGACTTCCTGCTGGCTTCTCCACTGACTTCTCTTATGGGATGCTGACAGGGAACACTGAAATTATGATTATGTGATTGCAGTGTTGTAGCACCCACAAATTTCAATCCCATGGGAGTAATGGAGACTAAATTTTGGATGCATTCTTTAAGTTAGCATATTTCAAGTATGTTGATTCATAAATTATTGCCTCATGAAGCACCATTTCACCCAATTTAAAGTTACAAACAGGAGAATTTTACTAATATATAGATGTTCTTTCTGGATGTAGAAGCATGGCTATTAAAGAATTCTATAGTTTTGTCAAAAGAGAAAGAAAATCTACTGTAACTATGGACAGTTATTCAATATAGGGATTGATCATTACCTCTGGGTTTACTGGAAGTCAGAAGCTTAATCTGAAAGATAACATGTAAAATAAATCACTTATTATTTATGAGGTCTGATAAGAATTTAGCTGATATATGACAGGTACATAATAATGTAAATCAATTCACAAAGTTACTACTCACATTTCAAAATAAAATGTGTTTCATATGTTTCAAATGTCTCTTCTACTATATCCAGAAGGGAGTGACATTGTAAGAGGAAGTGCTTGCCTAGCACTTTACATTGGCCAGAAAAGGAGCAGTTACAGAGAATTTTCCCTGATCTCTCCCAGGTACAAGACTCAGTTATTACTTTGATGAAGAATGAAAGGAAAGCCACATTTTGGCCTCTTTCCCTCAATCCAGGGATCAAAAATCATGAAACATTATCCAGGCAGGAGCACAATCCAGGGAGGATCAACATGACCCCAAATGGATATTAATATCACCTTAAAGTTCAACATTTTATTCTGCCATTGCCTAGAAATTTATTTTTTATTCTCATCTTTTAGCCTACATGTCTGAGTGCAAACCTGTTATTTATTTATAATGTATCAAGTCACTTGGTATAAAGTAAGTAAAGCAAAACTACATTTTGGTGTAAGCCATATATATTGTAGGGTGAAAGTTTCTCACCAGCAAAGCAATTAGATTATCTGGATTACAGGGCTGTGCAACCAATTGGATTCAAAGGTAAATTGTGATTTGAAGCATATGTACTATACAGGTAGCATCTGCAGGTATTACCTTAAAATGGCTATATCTTTTCAAGATTTAAATGGTTACCTCCACAACTAATGCATAATCCAGGGACAACACATTTTATTTAAGGTATTCTCAACACCACACATCTTCCAAATCAAATTTTGCCCTTTAATTTTGCATCATACTTATGTATGATGATTAAGTGTTTGGAATAAGGGGAACATTAAGACATGCAATTTCCATATAAAATATGAAATGGTGATAATAGTCCCAGAAATGCTGCCTCATGGGAGTCTACTAACAGTATAGTTTTATTCTCAGAATGCAGGAGCGTTCTCATCTGAAAATAAACACAAGCTCTTCTCTAAATAGAAGAATATAAAGAACTTCTCAGAAGAACTGTATTCAGCTTACTGTATTCTCCTGAGATTGGATGACACCAGCTTGCTCTCTGAGTTGTGTGGTAAGGGAGGCAAGTTGTTTCTTGTTATATTCAGTCATTTTAGATTGGTCAGAAGACAAGAAAGCCCTCAGTTTTTCATTCTCATTCTTCAGCTGAAACAGAAAAATAACATTTGGGTGAAAAGATGATTCCATCTAATTAAACACTTCATTAATAGAGACAAATGGTTAGAAATGCAATTATGTAGGCTGCAACTAAATGGGTTTAGTTGTCTATGGTCTAATGTCTCTAGAATCTGATTTCACAATAAAGGCATACAGTCTCGATCGATCCACCCACCCACCCACAGAAAAATAAGAACTGTTTTCAAGTGTGAACTGCATTATTCTGAATCTTATTGCTTAGTCATACCATAAAACAATAAAGCATTGCACTGAAGTATAATTCAGATACAAGTGTGGAAGGAATGGGATTATATCTGTAGATTTTGCTGTCCTTCATGAACATGCAATGTAATGTAACGTATGTGCACCATCTATATTTAAAGTATCTACACATACTATATCAAACATAGATAAAGGAAGGTAGACCCTTCAGACTTTCTCTGGCTAGTAGAATCCTCTTTATACTATGGTGGAGGGTGTATCATCAGTTAATCTCCTTGTCTATAATGGATGATAAATATATTTTATTTCTTCTCCATGAAGGTTAATCCTGCCCCCTCTGCCCTAAATGAATAGGCATGGCTGGCATTAATTATAGAATACAATGTCCTTATTTTTCTATTAGCAGAAAAAGCTGCAAAAATATTTAGTGTACTCACTTTTTCTTTTTCTTTCTCATTCTCCTTCTGAAGTTTCCTAAGTTTCCACTGCCATTCGGTTTTCTGATAAATATTGGAAAAAGTACCCAGCCTTATTGACAGTTATCTTGCCAGTTATCTAACACAAGTTATTTGAGTCTTAGCAAAAATGCCAGACTTCACATTTTCTGATGCACCTGATTCAGACTGCCAACTAAAGATTGCATTCAGTCCTATAATGTCTTGTTTCACTGAGGAATCTGTAAACCCATTTTAGTACATATCAGTATTTCCCAACCTGATGCTCTCCTGGTGAGTATTCCCAGATACAGAATTTGGGAATTTAGGGTATGGTTAGGAATGCTGGAAGTCATGGTCAAGATATCTGGAGAAAGGTCTAATATAGGATGATCCTATCATATTGTTAAATTTTTTTTTGCAGGATTCATCAAGATACATTTTCCCTTGTAACTATATATGTATATATATGTGTGTGTGAATGTATGTATGTATGTATGTATGTCTCTCTCTCTCTCTGTACGGGTTTAAATTGCAGCTTGTATAACTTTACTGATTAAAAATTGTCTTAAAACATCAATATAAATAAGTTCAGAACAATCTGTTCACTGTGGTTCTGATAATGTTCTTCAATGGTTATAGAGCTAAAAGTATTGAATCCAAAGAACTATAAACAAAATATATTAGTTTTAAGTGTTAAGTGGATCTATTGTTATACAATAGTTCAAAATTATAATTTCCAGAAGTATGAGTCAGTATAGTTATGACTAAGTTGATTGAGAACTCTTGGAGCTGTTGTCTCAATATGACTGAAGGACAATAGACTAGCTGCATTATTCCTTTAGGTTCCCCTACCTGTTGTTCAATCCTTGCCTTCATCCCTTGTATTTCTTTCTGAGTCTTAGTCCACTGTTGTTTCTCAAAAGAATCATCATCTTGCAATGTCCCAAGATGTGAGGCTACTGCATTCTTGACTTGTAATTCCTGAAGTTTCTGCAGAAGGAATATGTGATCTATGACAAAGTGCCAGTCTGCAGCTGCCAGAAAAACCAAAAATATTTCTCTATGTCACATGTAACATCTTACATTTGACACATATACTTATATACAGCACTCTAATTGAGGCATGGCTATATGTCAGGAGGGTCAGAATTCCCAATTGCATCTTGCTTTAAATCTCTGATCAAGATTTTATCTTGATTGGGAAAATACTGATCTCAATATTATCACAATCACTCACATGGTAACGTATTGTCTGCTATAGGAAGAACCCTGGAGAACAATAGAGAAAAATAGGTTTATAAGGCTTCTTATTGTTGCTTTACTTTTTCTCACAGGTCATAAAGCCGCTCATCCTTCCTTGGATCTATCAATAACTCATCCACATACGATAGGAAGAGCAGAGGAGAGCGTGTACTTGAATGGCAGTTAATGATGGAAGAAATTAAAACACAATCTTTGATATCATATGCTTATTGCCTAGAACAGAGATGTCAAACTCAAGGGTTAGATCTGGCCCATGGCACATTGAAGGACCAGCCCGCAGTGCCTCTGTCACTGAAAACAGAGCTCAGGAGGGCCACACACAGCCCTCCCAGGCCCCGTTTTCAGCCAGGAAGGCCTCCTGCAGCCCTCTGCCAATGAAAACAGAGCTCAGGGAGGCCGTCCTGGCCAAAAATGGGGTCCTGGGGGGCGTGCACGCCCCCCCCCGAGCTCCATTTTCACTGGCAGAAGACCACATCCACCTCAGCCGGCCATGTTCCCCGGCCCCTCTGAGGTCAAACACAACCCTGATGTGGCTCTCAATGAAATCAAGATTGACACCCCTGGTCTAGAACATCTTTATCACATCAAGGAGCTGCCTCCTATTATTCTTGTAATATTGGTAATCTTTCCATAAGGTTTCAAATATTTGGGGTAAGTTCCCCTCAGTCAGAACAATTGTTTTCCTAGTCCTAGCCATGTTTGGACTTATTCATTTTGCTATCTGCAGCAAAGGATAAGAATGCACCTTATCATTTTATGTTAAACAAAAAATTATGGGATTAGTAATTGGTGGACAGCATCCTGCATCTCTAGTCAACAGCTTAGTTTAAGGCATTTGGAAGTAAACCATATGCTGTAAACTGCTCTGTTTTCCAACATTTTTTTAGGTATTAGATTTTATCCCTTTGATGTATAAATAAGGTAGTAATACTTATTATCAATATATCACATATCTTCACTTCAAGAATAGAGATGTTTCCATGCTGAATTAATGATGGTAAACATGTTGAATATTCAAGAAAATAGGAAAATTGCAAGCCATATCTTTTCCTTACTCCTTCCAAGACAGAATTTTTATTGGAAAAGTCCTTGATTTCCGTGATGAAAAGTTGCCTGAGTTCTTCCATTTCTGTGTGAAACTTTGCTCTCTCCTCTTCCTTCCATCTTTCAAATTTCCTCCTTTCGTCATCTTCCCTTTGGCGAAGGTGCTCTGCTTCCTATAAGAAAAGAATTATCCCCAAATGGAAGATAAAGTAGTTATGGGGCTAAGACTAGATTCAGGGAATTGAAACATTTTTAGAAGTTTTAGCAGGCAATCAAACTAAACAAATATTCTGAATGAAAAACTGAATGAGGATTCTGGACCAGACCTTGAGATCCTAGTTTGAGATGAATGTTTAGCATTGCACCCATCAATGACTTAGAGCTGGCTGAGGAATTCTGGGAGTTGAAGTACACACATCTTAAAATGGCTGGGGAAACACTGATAGAGCAAGGGATAAACTGAATGACAGTAACTTGCAAAGACAGTTTGTACTATAGCAAATATTTGCAGTGCAATCTATGCCCTGCTAAATTTATTGGGATTTCATTTCAGTCTTGCAGACCCTAATAGTTATTATACAAACAACTGTTTACCATTTTGACTACTTGTAGATATTTGAGAGTAGGCTGATGGCATTATCATTATGTAATTTAGCCAACAGATGACCCTGACAGTTACATCTCAACAATCAGTTATTTTCTGACCTTGTTTGAGATAGGTAATACTTATTTAGCTTGTGGATTAGTATGTCCTTTAACAATGGGGTTTCTGGGGTTAGTAATCAAATACATCTGTATGGCAACAGGTGAAGAAATTTACTTTATAATAGTATTATCTATAGAGAAGGATCCATTACCATTCTGGCCATCCCGCTAGAGCAGATAATCCAGCAAAGTTGTTCTCTGACATAATAGTTAAAATTTCAATTAATAAAGTAATAAAACAGCATTTTATTATTTTATAAACATTACTTTTATTACTTCATTGGTTGCTTTTTACATTATAGGTTCTTTATTTCTGCCTTAAGTACTATCCAATTTACTGTGCTTACTGGTAGATTATGGGTGAATTTACATGGTTAGAAAATAAGCCTCTGATTGTATTAGCTATGAAGGATAATGTAGGGTTATGCATCCCTGAAATAAAAAAGCTAGGATGCTATAGCTAGAAAAGCCTCACATTTAGTCATTGTTTCCAAACAGCAACTGGAGGAAACAGAGACTCTGGTAATGATCATTCTGAAGGAATAAACTTATCCGAGTTATTTGATTTTGTTTTACTTGTGAAAATCAACTGGCCCCACCACTGTAGAAGACAGGACACCCCCTTCAAGCTCAGCTTAATTCCTGGTAAATTCATGGATGTATCTAGGTAGTTGATGGCCAGTAATATAGAAGCCTTTTGCTGCTATTTCTTTTGAATTTTCTCTAAATTATTAGTCAAGAACTGAGATGCATTTTACCAATTTAATCTACAGTCCTAATATTCCCAGAGGACATCTATTAAAATACTAATTAAGAATCATCCTATTTAGCTCTTGGGCTCAGAGAAGATTGGCCTGTTGCTGTATCATTGCTGACATTTTTGACAGAGCATGAATTATTCCCATTTTGTCTATCTATGATTAGTTTTCACCTTGAGAAAAGGCATTTGACTTTTGCTTTCCTTTTTATTCATATTCTTACCAATTCATACCTGAGCCCTTTGCTGACTCTCAGCCTCCAGCTGGACATGGGTCTCCTTCAACTTGACCTTCAGTTCTTCGATCTCACTTTCCATTTGCTGCACCTGTTTTTTCTTCGAATTCTCTTCAAGTCGATTAAAAAAGAGGCAATTTTAGTGAGGGCCTTAACTAGAAAATGAAGCTGTATAAAGAAGCTGAAATAGGAATTCAACTTCTTACTAGATTTTTATGCTAAATTATTTCTCAAGAATGAAGATGCATTATGTAACAAAGGTTGCAAACTTTTAGCCAGTTTGGTTAGTGGTTAGGGCACTAGGGTAGAAAACGGGACATTGTGAATTCTAGTTCCATCTTCGCCATGAAAGCCAGCTGGGTGACCTTAGGCAGTCATACTCTCTCAGTCCTCTGAGAGAGGACTCTCACAGGACTGCTGTTGTGGGGTAAATAGGAGGAGAAACGTTTGTTGGGTATGTTTGCCACCATGAGTTATTTATAAAAATAATAAAGGCAGGATACAAATAGATAGATAGATAGATAGATAGATAGATAGATAGATAGACAGACAGACAGACAGGCAGGCAGGCAGGCAGGCAGGCAGGCAGACAGACAGACAGACAGAGACAGACAGATAGATAGACTCAAAATGCAGGGAAAACCTATATAAATTTTAAATTTGAACCATTTTCACTTTTTCAAAAATGAATTAGCATTTTCTATTTCAAGACAAAAGAGTTTAGGTTTTTTTTTATTATTATTTTTCATTATAACCACTGAAATAAAAAAAAAAAGTAAAAAAAATATTCATGGCATTTATTAAATGTAAGTCTCCAAAATTTGACAACAAACACTTAACAGTTTAAACCTTAAACCCCTAAATTTGTATTTAGATTTTAAATTACAAATAAAAACTGTGATAAGGCTATAGTGATTCAGAAAGTTTATGAATATTTCCAACTCCAGGTCCATTTTACCTTTATGTAAAAGATAGATACACAGTGGTTTGGGCATTATAGCAGTATCAGATTCATTGCTAATACTTTGTTACATTAAAATCTACCTGAATTTAGCTTCACACACAATGTATCTCCTTTTTTTACTCTGAAAGTGGATATAAACAAGCTTCTGAATGCCGGAATTAATAAGTTAATAAGTTAACTTCCTCTCTCCCACTCCCCATCTAAACCTAAACTGAATTCCCTCCATAAGAGAAATATTCAGACAAACTTAGTGCTTACCATGTGCAGTAGCTTCAGTATGCCTACGCTCCATGTGGCCTTGTAGAAAGGAATAATTCATGAAGGTCTTGTCACAGAGCTGGCACTAAGAACCAAGCAGAAGGACGAAAAGTCATCTAAGGACAGATTAAGCATGTAATCCGATGGTAGGAGAATTTCTCCAAGTAGTTCTCATTCTCTGCTCATTTATTTACCTTTCCTAGTGCTTTAAGACACATGTGGGACAAGAGTACAGGTAGTCCTTGACTTAGAACCATTCATTTAGTGACCGTTCAAAGTTACAACAGCACTGAATAAAGTGATTTATGACCATTTTTCACCCTTATGACTGTTGCCACCTTCTAATGGTCACATGATCAAAATTCAGATGCTTGGCAAATGGTTCATATTTATATGATCGCCTTTTGTGACTTTTTGACAAGTAAAATCCATGGAGAAGTAAAATTCACTTAACAACTGTTACTAACTTAATAACTGCATTCATTCACTTAACGATAGGAAGGAAGGTTGTAAAATGTGGCAAAACTGACTTAACAAATGTCTTCCTTAGCAACATAAATTTTGGTGTCAATTGTGGTCGTAGGTTGAGGACTTCCTGTTTTTAGTTCAACTCCAACCTTAACCTAGGATCATATGTTCTGTAAACTTGAAATAGTTCTAAAACTTGGGTTTATTAACCCAAGTTATTTTTTATTAATTTGAAGAGTAATTTGAAGCCTTTTATCCAAACTGATATTCCCAATCTTTGAAGAAGTGGAAGAAAAACAAAGATTTTTAAAAATATTTCTTAGAATGTTGCATTTGCATTTGTTTCAGATGTCATTGTTATTTAGGACAGTTCTTATTTTTCAGATGTCAATCTCTAATAAACTATTATTAGGGATTTTAATCAATTTTATCTGTTATGATTACTTTTAAAAGAATTTTCAATATATTTCTTTTACCAATAACTGCTCAAATTGTAATATTGTCCTATGTATTCAAAGATTGCATGCTTCCAGCACTGCATAATTATGGTCAGAAACATGTGAAGTTCAACACAATCTTTACTGTGAAAACAGAGTGCTAAATGGGTCTAAGTGTGACTTTATTTGCATATGTGAACTTCTGGAAGTGCAAATAAATGTAATGGGATATGCTTAAAAAATAAGATTGAAATGAGAGCAGAAAACTAAGGATAAGGTTAGAAAGAACTCTGTGGGTATTAGGGAAACTAACTATAATAAGGAATTCCAGCATCAACTGGGAAGAAGACAATGGCAAACCTTTTTCTTATGGATGCAAAGAAAATTGTATACACATTTGCAACATTTGGGTACTTCATAAAGCTGTTCTGTAACATTCAAAAGGCAACCGGTGTTGTGGCCCGCCAGCGGCCTGCATGGATTGTGGCTGATCCCGACAACAAGGAGGCTGGTGTGGTGTCACGCCAGCAGCCTGTGTAGCCGGTGCTTGAGTCGGACAGTGAGGAGGCTGAAGAGGATGTGGTGCCAGAGACAGAGAGTCAGCCAGGGCCTTCAGAACCTCCAGAGGCTCCTTTAAGTGAAGAGAGTGAAGTGGAGGAGCCTCTTCTCAATGCTCAAGCACGCAGGGCTGCCAAAAGGCAGGAGTGGCTACTCAGGAGGAGGTCTCCTCGAGAGTAAGGCTTGGGGTTAATTGGCCACTCCCTTAGCCTATTTAAGTTCGCACACAGATAGCAAACGTTGCTGGAAACAAGGTTTGGTCCTACGCAGAGCATTTTGAGAGTGAGTTTTTTGTTACAACTTGGTTTCTGGGCTGATTGCCAATCCTTGTCGGACTTTATTTAATCTCTGTAATTCATAGCAGGCTGATAAGGACATTTGTGGTTAAAGCCTGCATTTTGAAAGGGGTCTGTTTGTATTAAACAGAGTTTTTGGAACTGTGTGTGTGTGCTACACTTCTTGGGACCCATAGCTGGGGCAGAACAACCGGGGGTTCCCTTGTTTCTAGGCCAAAGTTGTTCCAAAAGAGGAAATTCCACAGAGAATGTTTGCTTCATGTCTCATTCATGACGTGATTGAACCGCACAACAGTGAGGACTTTCAGCAGATACTCTATTGGCTTTGATCGGACAGGCAGAATCTATCTGGGAAAGGCAATCTCACAGATATTCAATCCCAAAACACAGAGGCCTTTCTAAGTAACAAAAGCTTTTCAATTTCAGTTGGAAACATACTGTTAAGTAAGGGAGTTCCTACAAGAATTGTAACAGGACTCTCCCTAAGAATATGGGCACTGCATTTTCTACTAGTTGAAGTTACTGGGCAACCTGCAAGAGAAATTTCATGTAAAGTGAACAACAGTAACCTGGGCACAAGATGATAAGTGTATGGATGACCTTCAGTGTTTCCTGTTGTAGATAATGTTAGTGGTACCCACCCTTTCAGAGAAGCCATAAGTTCATAAATATTCCTAAATTGTTACCTTGCCCTGTGTGGGATAGCACTATTCCACTCAGAAGCAAAGTTGGTACTTCTCCAGAAATAAGAGGCTTTTGTATGAACAGCCACTCTCTTTCGTTTGGTTAAGCCTGAGCATCTTCAACATATTGATGACACTGGCACATGATCTCTTCCAGCAGTTTCATGTAGAGGTTAAATAGGATAGAGGAAAGAACCAACCTCTGTGGATGCAGTTCTTCAATGATGGATGCATTTTTCTATGGCTTTTTTCCCGCCACCGGAAAAATTGAGAACTTAAAATTGCCAAATTTCAGTGCATCTCTGAAAAATTAGGCACATTTTGTGTTAAAATGCAGACTGAATAAAATTCTCATGCATTTCCTATACCTCAACCTCACCTTGTGGTAGTTGTTGGCCCCGGCTTGCAAGAGCAGCTGTTGGGTGGCAATCATTTTTTTCCGTCTCCTGCTCTCTTCCTTCACCCCCTTTAATTCTTCTGCTTGCTTATCCAGGTCATACTTGATACGCTTGCAGTCTTCAAGGACCGCCTGGTGCTGCTCCTCCTGGAGTGCCAAGTTCATACTTAAGTACTCCTGAGAGTGCAACAAATATTCGATGGTCAGCTGGGCCATCTTCAGAACCTTAAGGAGAACAGGATCTACTGGCTGCTGACAATAGGGGCACTTCTCCGCATCAAGATTACAAAAGGTGATACTATTGATATTTTCCTGAAGAGTGCCAAGATCCAGCTCACGAGCTACGCGTTCCACATCAATGGCACTGAATCGCCTCCAGTCAATGGTTTCTCTCCGCAACTGGAATTTAAAGGCTGGAATTATGGAGGGGCTGGGTAGCATGTTGCCCGAAAAATCACTGGTGCGCTGGAAGTTCACAGGAAATGTGGAACCTGGCATATTTATCCAATAATGTCGAGAAGTAGGCAGCGGAAATGGGTAATAAATATTAGATACAAAAGGCTAGGAAAAACAAGAAGATACAGATGATCAGAATGGAAAGAAAGTTAACAGTAACATATTTACTTGAAGACAAGTGGTTCTTGTTTAATGACCACTCATTCAGTGACTGTTTGAAATGTGTGCTGAACGAGTGGTTGATATGACTGGTCCTCAAACTTCTGGCCATCTCCAGAACCGGTAGTAAAAATGTTTTTAAAAAGTAAAAAAAAAAGGCTCCAATGATCACAGCTGTGGCGCGCGATTGTCAAAGCCTTTGTTTTAAACTTTTAAAAGCATTTTTTTTACAACCTATTCAGCATTTGGTACATGGTGGGCACTGCGCATGCAGCGCGTGGCGCACATGCACAGCCAGCGAACCAGTAGTAAACCGGTTCAGATTTCACCACTGGCACAGTCACATGATTGCCAGAACTGCCATGCTATGAAGCACAGTCAAGCTTTATGACTGCATTACTCAGCATTGGAAATTGTGATCCTGATTACCATTAAGGACTACCTGTACTTGACATGTCTATACTGAACTGAACTTTACAAAATTGGCTTATTTTTACTTTTATTCCATACCAATGCTCAAACACTGAATCTATTAACGTTTGTATGTTAACTTACATGATAACACAATTTATATACTCAAAAGTCAACTCAATTAATATAAAAGTAAGATAAGTGAGTTAATATAAGTAATTCATTTTCTAATTAATTTACTAACCATTCAAGTTTAACATCAGTTATCAATAGAAATGTTTCAGATTTCAGACTGAGAACATACCATATCTACAGTATATGCTGAAAGGCGTACAGATATCATTCAGAATTTATACATAGCTCTCTCAGGCATTCAAAGGGCTACAAAAGTGCACATACTTGTGACTACAGATAGAAAATAAAAGCTCTACTGAACTCTCTATAGTGAAAAATCAATCTAAGTACAGACATGTATTTGCAGACCCATAAGCTTGAGGATGAAAATTTCAGCAATATCCAAAAAGCAGCTGTATTGACCACATAGGCATGTAAACACTTCAGAACTGAGAATGTGACTTAGAAGGTAATATTTCAAAGATACTGCCTTAGTGGAAAACAGTACTACTTAATATTACATGAAAAGTTTACATTACAAACAGCATATTACCTTAATATATGTGGGAGTAATAGTTTGTTAGAACATAAACATAATTTAACCCTAGCAATATATTGAGTTCTCTGTTTACCATAGAATAAAATATGGAGGCTTTTTATTATTTTACAGATATTACCATATCAAAAATTATTTCATGTTTACAGTATATATTTTTCTGTATATATTTAGCCAAGGATCCAGCTAGATGTGTTGAGGTCTATTTATGAAAACCTACATAATTTCAAATAATGGTTATCATTCAGTAAAGTTTGAGATATTATTAGCATATTATTAAAAACACTCCATAAAATCTAAAAATAATTTAAACAAGTGCATGCAAAATTGTTTGTAAATATTACACTATCTTTCATATCACAGTTAAAAGTATTTCCCTCCATAAATTCAATGGAAGTAGTGGCCACATAAGTCTACACAGGACTCAAATCATAGCATACAATTCCCCTAATGCTAACAGAAAAATGATTTTTGCTATACTGTATTTACAACACTTTCTCTAGGAATGGTTTGCAAAAATATACATACCATGATTCAATACAGAAAAGCTGTTCAAATCAACTTGGCTTTGATACTTATCTGCAACAGGACAGTTGTGTTGAGCAACAGTGAGTTACCAGGTGTGTCTTGTGTAATGGTAACAGGATTCCAACATTCTGCCAATAGCAGTGCAAATATACTGTGGTTCAATGGAATGTTCTCTCAATGGTAAAAGAACAATTCTTTACATTGTAAGATAACTTTTATTGTCATTTTTACTGTGAGCACATTGGCACCCATTAAAAATGAAATTCTGTTGCCATACACATACATAACACACATACACACATGATCAGGAGTGGTATTCACTTACTTTCCCTACAGGTTTGCAAATGTGAGCATGTGCGTCCATACATGCGCCTGGCCTTCCGTGCATGTCTTCCATGAATGCGCCTGGCCTAAAAAATGTGCCTAAATAGGATGGCATACAGTTGGGGTGGGTGGGCAGGCTCACCCGCGATTTCCACTACCGGTTCAGGTGAAGCGGTCCAAACCAGCTGAATACCATCTCTGCACATGCTATATACATATACACAAACACACATACATACATACACACATATATATTAATCACTGTCCATTTTGAATACATAGTGGAAAGAGGAAGCTTGAGAGCTTACAAGGTTGATGCTATATGGGAAAAAAATCCTGTCTGAATCTGGATGTTCTGCTTCAGATACCACAAAGTCTCTTCCCAAAAGGTAATAAGGAAACAGGTCGTGAAAAACAAGGAAAAGAAAAACAAGGACTGTTTTTGAAGTGTTTTTGGGGAAAACATTTAATTCAAATACTGTTCAAGAATAGAACCACAAAGGAAAAGATACTAAATCGTTTAACAATGGAAAAATGTTCAGTAGAAGCAGAGGTGGGTTTCAGTAGGTTCTGACCAGTTCTGGAAAACTGGTAGCGGAAATTTTGAGTAGTTCGGAGAACCGGTAAATATCACCTCTGACTGGCCCCACTCCCATCTATTCTCTGCTTCCTGAATCCCATCTGATTGGGAGGAAATGGGGATTTTGCAATAACCTTCCCCTGGATTGGGAAGGGAATGGAAATTTTACAGTATTCTTCCCCTGGAGTGGGGTGGAAATGGAGATTTTACAGTATCCTTCCCCTGCGACGCCCACCAAGCTACGCCCACCAAGCCAAACCACATCCACCAAGCCACACCCACAGAACCACTGGTAAAAATTTTTAAAATCCATCACTGAGTAGAAGGCCTGAAAACTAGCACCTTTTCTGTTAGGAATCCACTAGTACTTCTATGTACTTGACTTATCCAAGTTATAGGATGTTTGTATGTGAATTATAATGTTCAATTCCATTTTTTAACGCAACAGCAACACCATGAACAATCAAAATCATTATCTGGAAGTCCTAAAATTTTGTTATCCTTGCATAAAGTGGAATTGTTAAATCTGCTTATTATTGTTGCAGGTAAAAAAGACAGCTAATTTGAGAAGTCAGGCCTACCATGGCTTGAGTATGTATCATAAAGAAAAAATGTTTTTCCCCATTACCTTTAATATTGGAGAAATAGCACAAATAAACAGAAAATGTTAAAGGTATTTTCACATCTTTAACCTGGACAACTAAAAATCAAACCTTCTGTACATTACTTCCTCCTAGCCAGATGTCTATGAATTAAATTATTTCATAAACTGAGCATGTGAGCATGGATGCTAATTTTAACTGAAAGAAAAATAATAACCCAAAGCACAGAATATTAACATAAAAACAAAACAAAATGATGGACAAGTTGGGTAAATTGAGCATCTATGTACTGAAGGAACTTCTGGTAGTGTGACATGTTCTGAGTTCCTCTATCTTGCACACCTTCACTAATGAGAACTGAGCTGTTTCAAGCCGAAGTGAATAGGTCATATCCTTTTTATAGTGATAGGTATAGTGCTTTACTATATCCACTTATTGGAGGTTATATTTTAGGCACTTAGTCAGAAGACATTGTCATATAACAAATTTAGCTGGTAATTCATGTCATTCAGATCACCTAATGGTCATCCAAAATCCCATCTTTGGAACAGGGGAGTTATTTTTGGGGTTGGAAAAAAACTATTTGTATTTCTGGCAAAACCATGTACAACCATCACAAAGCCTACACATGTTACTTATGTTTTATAAATAGTGATTCTAAGCAAGAAGTTTCATTTTGGGTCATGCCCACTTTGTATGATTAACTTATAAAATCTGGTTTCAATATATGGGACACATCCACATCAGGGATGGGTTCTACTTACCTTTACTACTGGTTCACAGCGGGAACATGCGCAGATCACCCATGATGACATCATGGCAGGTGGGCGGAGCCTCCCGCCAGTGTTACCACTGGTTCTATAGAACCGGACCGAACCGGGAGCAACCCACCACTGATCTACATCACAAATTTATTTATGTATTTATTTGCTGCCCATCTAGTAGCAAATGACCCCGGGGGGGCTAAAATAATGTTGAATCCTCATTTGTTGATTGATGGATAAGACATGTCCAATACAACTGTTACTTCTCCTCTCATTTTAAGAGGACTATCCCAGCATTTCTCAATCTTAGCAACTTTAAAATGAGAAAATGTGTGAACTTCAACTCCCAGAATTCCCCATTCTGGAGGGGGAATTTGGGAAACTGAACACATCTTAAAGTTGCCAAGGTTGAAAAACACTGGACCAAGTTGTGGGAATCTCTCCTTTGGTCAACCCAAAGCTTTCTGATCTCTGGTCTTTGTTAAATATACATCAGATAGAAAGAGCATATTATATGCAATTAAAATTTTTCATCAAATGGTATGCTGTTTACAAGAATTCCTTTCCGATTCAATTCAGAGGTGCAAAAGAATATTCAGTAGAGCTATGCACCTCAACTAGCAAAACTGAAAGAGGGGGAGGGTTCGACAGAAATGTAGCAACACCTTAGATCAGGACAGACTCTTTCCAGGATTCCACAACGGCTGTGTAAGCAAAAAGAAAGCATAACTTTTGAAACGATGTAGACAGACGTTAAGACTCACTCCGGTGTACTCCAAAACTGCCCTTTGGAAATTGAACCTAAAGTCCTACATAGCTCAACTATTCACACAAACAGATAAGATATAGATGCGAAGGCTAGGCATGCTTTGAAAATGATTCAGAGTTGCTTAGGACATCATATGAGGATGACATCTCTCTACTGCAGATAGTCCTTGAGTTACGACCGCAATTGAGCCCAACATTTATGTTGCTAAGTGAAACGTGTTCAGTGAGTTTGCCCCATGTTATGGCTTTTCTTGCCACAGTTGGGTGAATCATTGCATTTGTTAAGCTAGTAACATAGTTGTTAAGTGTATCTGGATTCCCCACTGACTTTGCTTGTCAGAAGGTGGCAAAAGCTGATCACATGACCCCAGGACACTGCAACCATCATAAATATGGGTCAGTTGCCAAGCATCTCAATCTTTATCATGTAGCCATAGGGATGCTGCAATGGCCATAAGGGTGAAAAATGGTCTTAAATCACTTTTTTCAGTGCTGTTGTAACTTTGGACAGATACTAAATGAACTGTTGTAAGTCGAGGACTACCTGTACTCATTAAAGGGTCGTCTCTTAATTCAGGCTTCCCCATTAAAGTTAACACCGTTTTTAAAGTATCCATGCTCCTGCAGGTCTGAAGCACTTCTGAATTAAACTTAGTGAAAGCTCCACTTTTCCCAGGCTTTCAGCTGGCATTTTTATTAAGCAATCCTGCAATCCTAACACTCCTCTTGATCAGACTGGCTTATACCAATTCTATCTGGTTTGGAAAGGAATTGATTTTTCAAGTTTAAAGTGACAGCACTTCCAGCACAATGAAAACATGATACAATTCCAACTCAGCTTCATTATTTTTGGGAGAAAACAGGACAGGAACATTATGGTAGGTGCTACTAAAAGGGTATTTTGGGGTGTGAAAAAATAAACATGCTCTAATCTCTCAGTTCACTGATGAAATATGAAAGCTACAGTTTTGACCTACTCAGGTCAATCTGAATATACAGATAGTCCTAGACTTACAACAGTTCATTTAGTGACCATTCAAATTTACATCATCACTGAAAAAAGTGACTTATGACCATTTTTCAGTGTTACAACCTTTGTAGCATCCCCATGATCACATGATCAAAATTCAGATGCTTGGCAACTGGTTCCTACTTATGACCATTGCTGTGTCCCAAGGTCATATGACCCCTTTTTGAACCTTTTGAAAAGCAAAGTCAATGGGGAAGCCACATTTACTTAACAGCCGGGTTTCTAAATTATTAACTGCAATAATTCACTTAACAACCATGGCAAGAAAGACCATAAAATGGAGCAAAACTCACGTAACAAAGGTCTCAATTAACAACAGAAATTTTGCACTCAATTGTCGTCATAAGAGGACTATCTTATGTACTATTGTACAACCCACAAAGATTAAGTATTTAGCCCACAAGATCCTTGGATCTGTGCATCTCCATTTCTGGATGGAGGCACAATCTGTCCAACTCTACGGGAATCTCTTGTCCTCATAATAGAATAGAATAGAATTTTTTATTGGCCAAGTGTGTTGGCTGGGTTGTGAGGAAAACTTCCATACTTTGAGTGACATCCTTTACTTCCTTGATTTGAGTCTAAGAGATACATTTTGGGAAAAAGATTTTCTATACTTTCCATCCCATAGGCTTTCTGTCTTCTGCTTATGCACATAACTGAAAAAATAAAAAAAAAACGTTATTTCTACTTGAATCTTGATAGATCTGAAATACTGAACAATTTGCCCACAAACCTAAGGCTAGATAATTTAGAATAGAATAGAATAGATTTTTTTATTGTCCAGGTGTGATTGGACACACAAGGAATTTGTCTTGGTGCATATGCTCTCAGTGTACATAAAAGATACGTTCATCAAGAATCATAAGGTACAACACTTAATGATAGTCATAGGAAACAATATCAATCTAAATCGATATAAAAAAAATCGTTATAAAAAAAGAACCAGCTGATGATCAACCTTTCCTTTCCAAAATGGAAACGCGAGCCCCTATTTTCGAGACTTTCAGAAAAGCTAAAGCATCAACAAAGAGGTCTTAAGACAAGCAACGGGCCCCGCTTGCCTGTCCAAGCATCTTCCAAGTCACGGAACTTCTCGAGGCCAGCAGCCTCCCACACGCGGCTTCAGACTGAGTAAGAAGCGCCATTCGAGAATCCGGAAAGCCGCTTTGTTACTAAACCGTATCCGACACACTGCCTCGGTTTCCCTTCCAGGCCCCCGCCCCCACCCCGGTTAGAAGCCACGTATTCTCCGGGGACCTCGCATCCTCCGGGCCTAAGGAAACGGTTGCAAAGGAAACGGCTTTCGAAGAAAAGTTGGGGTGGTGAAAAGAGATCGCAGAGGGAGATCATTTCCTTCCCTGTGCAGTAGCCAATATTATTTTTCAGATGTGCCAGAGGTTCAGCAAAGACCAAGCTGGCAATGGTTAACCGAGCAAGCGATGCAAATCTGTAATGAGAAGAAGGAACTGGCTTGAACGAGGCGTAGTCCCACCTCTTCTTCTCCCTCCCCTTCTCCAGCTTCTTTGGTATTTAAAGCATGGGGACTACATTTCCAACAAAGCAAATCCTTACCTGCCCGCAGGAAGCATATTTTGTGAAGCAGGCTGGTTATGTGTGTGTATGATTGTGTGCCTGCACTCGTGCTTAAATAGGCCCCGATACAAACAGCGCGGGGTTGGAGACAAAACTCGGCGCTGAAATCCTCCGTCTCTCCCCTCCCACCCAGGAAATTCAACACCATCCAGGCAAAGATCCCAGCGCGGTTCCCCGCAGCAACGAATCGCTTTCTCGGCCCGAAATTTGCAACGTCAAGAGGTGAAGCCTGAAAGCAATTCCGAGGCTCTCGCTGCGCCTCCGGAGCTTCTCCCAGGAGGGCTGGAAACAGCTGGTAAACCGTCCCCCAAGCCAAGCTGTTGCTGTAGTAATTTATGAAAACACGGCATCTGATTGCTTTCTCTTGCTTGTTTAAGCTTCATTCCGGCTGTAATCTATCCACAATGTACAACGAGGGAGGATCGGGCAATCACAGTCTGTTAAAATATTGGTCCTCAGAGGTCTATTAAGGCTTCGCTTGTTGAATAACAAAGCTGCCTCTCCGTTTCTGGTTTGGTGTCTCATCACTACCAGCAGAGAGGACGCAAGTCCAAAGGTTGGGGTTGCGTTCTATTGAGAGCTTCAATTGTATCCCTGTGTGCTGCGAACAAAATGCCCCTGAATGGGAGAAAGAGACCCTTTAATTTCCTGCTGTGGCCTCCAAGGAAAGCCGAAGTAGCAGCCCAGATATTCTACATTTCAAAAGGAGGCATCACTTAATAAACCTCAGAGAATAAGTGAAGCCTTCCAAAATTATCAGGCACTGATGAGAGAAAGCGGGAAAGTTCCTTTCTGTTTGCATTTTTAAAGTTTGCTTAACTAAGTGGTGAAAGAGGCAAGGGAGAAAGGTCCCTTTCCGGATGTAGACATCCGGATGTAGATGTTGGAACCTGACAAACAATTTTTGTCACGTTCCCAAAAAAAAATGCTGAACCTTTTATGGCACATAGGCCTTAAAATACAAACACAAAAAACAGAATACAAATTCTGCCACCGATAGCCTCCCACCGGCCAGTACGCTCCCACAGAGAGAGACTCCTCAGGGTGCCGTTGTAGGCCAGACAATGTCGGCTGGCAACCCCCAGGGGGAGGGCCCTCTGGAATGACCTGCCCCCGGAGATACATAGGATCCCAGATCTCCGTGCTTCTCACCGTGCCCTTAAAACTTTTTTATTTCATCAAGCCGGGCTGGCTTAAACCCCCCCCCTTTAGATATTTTTAATTGTTAATTGATTTTAGTTGGCGTGTTTTAAATTTATTGGGCCAAAATTTGTTTAATTCTTTTTTTTTAAAAAAAAATTAAATTTTGTATGCAATGTTTTTAGTCTTGGCTGTTCACCGCCCTGAGTCCAGTGGGAGAAGGGCGGTATAAAAATCTAATTAATTAATTAATTAAATAAATAAATAAATAAATAAATAAGTAAAAAACAGCTTGCTACAGTGTGGGGACTAACCTTCTGTTAAGTGGGAAGTTTTTTCATCATCAGGCACAGCCACATAATAAACCTTGGCACAGCTCCGGTCTCCTCAATGTGCATTATTGAGGGCCCATAGATCAACCTGAGAGTCTTTCCTATGGAAGTGTGCTAACATACTGTGATTAAATTATAACCAATTCTAATTAACATCGATCCATAAATTAGCATATATCTCTTCCCTGAATTTCATTCTTTGATTTCTCTTAAAACAAACTTGTGATTTGTTTTTCTAAACCTAAAGGAGAAATGTAACAGTCTACTTCCATCCTTGCTGTCAGAAGAGGGCAGTACTAAATTGTACTAGATCAGTGTTTCTCAGAGGTTGAGAAACACTGCAGTAGATTCTTTTGATCTTTCTTAGCTTTATCATTAAGCAATCTTAATACATGTCAAAAGCTAACATTTTTACATACATTAATACAGTGGTACCTTGGTACTCAATTGCTTTGAAAGTCATCAAATTTGGTACTCAATGCATTTTGATCCAAAGTGTTTGTTCTGGTTCTCATTGTTTGTTTGGTACTCAACACACAAGAACATGTCACTGTTGGCAGCCTTATAGCTCACTACATTATTCTTTATGGGAAAAATTTGTTTGGTACTCATAGTTTTTGGTACTCATCACACCTCCCAGAGCCAATTAACAATGAGTACCGAGGTACCACATATTGTTTCTATATGTATCTATTTGGAATAATACACTGGGGAATATTCCCTGGTTAGTAAGAATAAAATCACAGCTTTACATAAATACGTTACATCTTTGAGGCGAACGATTTTTTTTAAAAAAAAAGCTAGTTTCATTTCACATTATCATTACATTTATTGTTCATCTATTCATTTCATTATTTATGCAGTTGTCCTGATAATACAGAGATAATATTGCTACCAAAATGTTACATTCCAAAACTACCAATGCTTTATTCTCAACTTTTTAAAGACCACCCCCCCCCTTGTACAGCAACCTTTCTGATCATTATCACAACTGCAATACTGATTGGGTATAAAGTTTCCAGCAGACATAGATGAAAAAAATCAGAGAATATCTGCTGACAATTTTCCCATTCCTTCTCCCTTATTTCCTTTCTCTATTGCTAGCTCTGCATCAGAAGAGACTGTTGTATGAACGTTTTGCTAATTATTGGGTTTGGCTTTGCCCTACAGAGAGTATTACATGGTGCCTGAGAATTTAAGCTTATTTTGCCAAACATTGGAAATAGTTTCCAGCGTAATTTATTATAAATGAAAAACACATCTTAAATTTCAGAAGCTACAAGAATAATCTGAAGGAGTAGTGAGGAGCCAGCAGAGAAAACCCACTAGTTAAGCCCGAAAGCTCGGTTCTAAGAGTCATGTGTACATGTGTATATTGCATAGTCTTACTTGAAATTGGAAAGTGGCTGAACAAATATTGCAAAATAGATCGTATGGAATATTCTTCCTAGTAAGTATGATCCTGTTCATGGAGAGACTTAGTGCAGCAGGTTTGCTATTAGGGATGTAGTGCTCTATTAAGTGCCAACTAGAATAGTTCCAAGAGAAAGAGCATGTCTCAACAATGTTTAACTGCCCTGTTAGAGAAAATATTGAGGTTACAGATAAGAAATAAACCTACTTTGGATAATATATATCCCTTTCCTAGTCTTTTTCTAAACATATGTTAGATATATATTCATTTGATGTGAAGCTTTCACAAGTTACTGGCTTCTACGTTTCTTCATTGTTACACTAAAAACAATATGAAATATGAAATTATTTTTTCCATAGCCAGAGATAACATTGCAATTGTACATTATGAAATATGTTTATAAAAGTACAATGGGCATCTCTCCTGAAGATACAAATCTTATCAGTAATGATAATTTTATAAACTTTCATCAAAGAGAATTGATAAAAGAAAGGT